TCATCAAAGAAAACCAATATAAACTTGTGCAAGTGTGCCTTAAAAATCTCATTCATGAGTGATTGAAATGTTGAAGGCGCATTGGTAAGCCCAAACATCATCACAAGGAACTCGTAATGGCCTTGATGAGTTCGAAAAGCCATCTTTGGAATGTCCCTTGGGTGCATTCGGATTTGGTAATAGCCCTTACGTAGGTCCAACTTGGAAAAGAAATTTGTTGCATGTACCTCGTCAAGCAACTCATCAATAATCGGTATAGGGAATTTGTCCTTGATTGTGATTCCATTGAGTGCTTGATAATCGATACAAAACCTCCAGGACCCATCATGTTTTTTGACAAGCAAGATGGGAGATGAATATTGGTTGTTGCTGAGTTGAATAGCACCGATAGAGAGTAGTTCTGCAACTAATTTTTCAATCTTCACCTTTTGGTAGTGAGGATAACGATAAGGTCGCACGCATCCAGGTCCGCTGCCTTGAACCAAAGGAATTTTGTGGTCATGAGACCTTGGAGGTGGTAGGTCGCTTGGTTCGGCAAACACATCAGCATACTGGGATAGAATTGATCTTAATTTGGCATCAACAAGAAGAGTGTGCTGACACATGAATGGTTCTTTTGTCATGGAATAAAGCTGCAGTAAGACTCCTTGTTCTTTTTTTTAATTTATCTACAATCTCATCATCATTGGTCCACTTGTTATATGGAGATGCCAATCCTTGAAGACACACCTCCTATCCATTCACTTTAAACTTCATCAATAGCTTGGAGAAGTCCCAAACTATGGGTCCCAAGGTCTGCAACCAGTGAGAGCCTAAAACAACATCGGAACCTTCTAAAGGTAAGAGACAAAGGTCAATTGAGATTGGAATACCTTGCAGTAGCATATTTATTCCATTGCATTTTCCTATGCTCGTCAACTTCTCTCCATTAGCCACGATGACTTCGAAATGCCCATCTTCTTGAGGTTGCAACCCAATCTTTTTAGCAATTTTGTTGCTTAAAAAGATATGGGTGCTACTCGAATCCACCAACTCCATGATAGTTTGGAAGCCAACTCGTCCCTTCACACACATAGTTTGGGGTGTTTGCACACCAGAGAGGTCATGGAACGAGATTTCAGGAGTGTTATCACTCCCTTCATCTCCTTCTTGGTCAGCTTGCTCATCCACTTCTTGCTCACAAACATCTTCGAGCCAACATCCTTCTATAAGGAAAAGTCTCTTGTAGCGATGACCTAGACCAAACTTTTAATCGCTGTGAAAACACAGTCTCTTAGCACGTCTATCATTAATTTCCGCAGGAGTGAACTTCTTAATAATAGGCAATTGGTTATGCTGAAGGTTAGACTGACAGTAGTCAACAATCGAATTCTTTCCTTCATATTAAGGAATCTTTCGTTGAGACTGAAGTTTTGCCTCATAGAGATGAGCCAATCCCACTGCTGCAGAGAGGTTTGCTAGTCGCGCAGCTTGGACATCAACTCGGATCCCGTCTTTGAGGCCACTGATAAAGCAGTTCACTTGTTGCGAAGGAGTAATTTTTCCTGCTCACACAAGCAGCCTTTTAAATTGGCTTTGATAATCTCTAATAGAGCCAACTTGTTTAAGCTTGGTAAGATCCCCAAAAAAGTCTTCAAACTGAGTAGCTCCATAACGTGCATGCAGTTCGTCCTTGATTGAATTCCAAGTGATCTCCACTCCATCATCCTTGAATAGTTGGTACCATAATTGGGCTTCTCCTTCTAAGTGGTATGTAGCTAATGACACCTTCTCTTCGACTAGTGTATGTTGGAATTCGAAGAACAGCTCCACCCTAAAAATCCAACTGGTTGGGTCTTCACTTCCACCATAGGGGGAAATCGAGCTTAGCGAGCTCTGGTATGGCCAAATTGGTTGAACTTGTTTGGCCAAAACCAGGTTGTCCATTAATTTTTCCTACCCCATTTCGATTAATGGAGTTATCCCCAGACTCACGAACATGGTTCGATTCAAGTTGATCAAATCGAGAGCTCATAGCTAGGAACATATCATGTACTTCCTTTAGCAATTTCTCTTGCCCAGAAGCTAATGATCCAACCTCTACTTTGAGACGAGTAATTCGTTGATCCTCCATGACCTACTCTGATACCAAATTGTTACATTTTTTGGTTAAAGAACGGATGATGGGTCTAATTTCAGCCGGGTTGGGAGTGAGACAAGAGTCCTTCTTCTTGTGTCTACCTATTTTGATCAGGAAAAACAAAAAGAATACAATTGGTTGATAAAGGGAATAGACAATTGGTTGATAAAGGAAATAGAATTTTGGTTTGCTTCAAGGGAAACCAACCTCCACAAGAGAACAATTAGATGAAATTCATCATGCCTCTTTATTTCCATAAAACTCATATTTATAGACCCATTACAATGGACTCAACAGAACTCTTTTCCTACAAATTAGCAATGCTCCTACAAAAAAAAAAAAAAAGATCAAACCAACTGAGCAATACTCTTAGAAAATAGAAACGACTCCAATAAGACTCGGTAGACATAGAAAACATCACCTGCAATCCCTATTTTATCTCTTACCACTAACTAAGACCTCCTCTAGTGCCTAATGACTTGCAACAACCCTGCACACAGGACTTCAACGTAACACAATGACTCCATCATGCTTCCAAGTCAAAGTGGCATGTTTTTAAGACGCTTAATGAAAAGGGTATTGACGCTAATTGGTTCATTGAGGTACATATTTCATGTGGCATTGGGGTCAATGATAATGTGTTTTGGGTACTTGGCCAAAAGCTATTGACTTGTCAAAATCTCCCTAATATAAACGATTGGTTTTTCGATTTCGTCATGATGTATTTTTCTACCGTCTATGATATTAAGTATCTGATGAGGTGTTGAGACATCTCAACAGGCTTCATTGTAGGTTGAAGAAGCTTGCGATGCTGTGGAAGTTTAGAGGATTGGTAATTGTCACCTAGCTGGTTCAGACAATTTTTGTACATTAATTAAGTTAAAAGATATTCTCTAATGCAACTAGTGTGTTATATGGTCTTGGTGTTGAGGATGGACAAACATTCATCATTGACAAGAAAATAATTAAATCATATGAGATAAGTGTTGGAAATAAGGGTATATTTATTTTTTTTTTTAAAAATCATGAAGTGGTGAATGAGAAATTATTAAAGTCTTTGCGACTTTTGGGAGCAAGTGAAAAAGTTGTTAAAGTCTTTGTGACTTTTGGGAGCAATTAAAAATGTGTGAAGTGAATATGATATGAAAGGCTACTAATTCAAAATTAGTGATTTTTGATTAAAGACACCAATCCAAATAGTTATATCTTTACATAAAGTCACTATTAACACATTTTAGTTAAAAGACACCATTACAAATAGTCACAATTTTTCATAAAGTCATCATTGATATCTCTTGGACTAAAAAACATCATTTCAAATGGTTGTACATTTTTATAAAGTAAATATTGATACATTTTAGATTAAAAGATACCATTACATATGGTTACACCATTTATGAAAAGTCACTAGGGAGTCTATAAATAGGTGATTATTTGCACTCCCAAAACATACCATTGAATAATTCAATATTTGCTCTCTCATTGTAGTTCTCTCAATTATCCAAAATACTAAATTAAGTATTCAGTATTTCTTCTCTCTCTCTCTCTGCATATTGATGCATTATTATTTCAAGTTCGATTCAAGTATAAACATAGAATTGTGTTCATTAGAATCTTGGAGATTGAAGAGTCGCATCTTCAAGAACGAAATTGGTTTTATCTTGGGAGACAGTTGCTATCAACCTTAAGCATCAAGAGGGAACAAATATGTCTTAAAAAAACTGTAATTACACAGGGCACGGATTATTGTTTTTATTATTAGATTTTTTGATTTCTAGTTTTCTGAATTTTACTATTTATATTGTTCTGCATCAATGTAAGTGCACCGGTTTTAATTTCTATACATTCTGTAATCTAATTATATACACATTTTCTATTGCAATCTTAAGACAGATTTATGTTTTATAATCTAATTATATACATGTTTTCTATAACAATCTTAAGACAAAATTCATGTTTTATAAGTCTAAAACAAAATTTTGTATTTTGTTACTGTTTTATTTTCGTTAATTATTGTATATGATAATGCACAAATTGGTATTATGCACCACATATTAGTAATTAATGCAATAATTAAGGAGAGAAAGATAACACGATCAAGACACAGATATAGAATGGTTCGATCAACGTGACCTACTCCACTATGAGGGGCTAGGATGGCCTGGGTATTTTATTACTGCAGGGGTGTAAGGAGATCAGGGCGAGAGCAAAAAGAGGTACAAGCTGTGAGAGTGATACAAGATGTGATCGATGCCCCTATGCATTAGCGGGGCATACAATTTGTAGTGCCTCCTAACAAACTAAGGCGCCTTTTTGATAACTAAGTAGCTAACTTGGTGGAGCTGGGGTCTTCCTCGCAATGGCTGAGGCAGTTACAGAGCTCTCCCCAAGACTAGGTCTAAGGAAGACGTGGTTGACTCCTTTCAAGGCAGCGTGGATGAGGCTCTTGGGATGACGTTGTCCATTTCCTAACGAAGTGGCTTTTGGAGCTTTGATGAGGCTAACTAAACATGGACCTCTATGGGGCTGGACCCATAGGACTTTGTCCAAGCTGATCCTTCATTCAAGTTGGGCTCTGGGCTGAGCCCATCATTTTTCACCCAATGCCACGAGTCCAATAAAACTTGGGGAATATGGCATTTAGCTAGACTCAGGCACTGACTAACAAAACCCCTCTAGACTGATGACTCCTTTTTTTTTTCTTGATATGGCTCATCTCAGTAGGACATCTATCGCTATGTAAACTCCCCTCATTTTATCTCCTATCAAGATTTCAAAAGCCCTAGGCTAAAAGTTGGAGTATTTTCCTTTTCTTTTCATTTCACACAACTTGAGAGAGGGTTTCTTTGTGAGACACCCAAGAACCAAGATAAGAGGCAAGATGAGTGAGGCTACAAACTTTGTTCTTGAGATGTGTGCTCAGAAATTGATGTCGAGTGAAGGAGAACTAATGCGAGGGACCATCGACAAGGATACCAGTGGCAATGGCACGATTGAAGGAAGTGGTCAAGTGGTCGCTGGCATGGTGGTGACTGAAGAGGGCATTGGTGAGGTAGGGACCCAGGTCACCAAAGGCAAGGCGCCGAGGAAGGGCGAGCCCACTGATCATAGAGGAGGGTCGACGCCAGTTAGGCTAGGATGGATGAGGGTGGCTACGCCAGAGGTGTGATAGAGTAAGCGTGCAAATGAGGGAGGCGTTGCCAGGGGAGCACGCGGGAGAGGGAAGCGTCGCTAGGGGATGACCAGTAGAGCTCGCTGACGGCGTCGCTGATCGCTGGATGCGAATAAACGGCACTGGTGGTGGTCTTGATGTGGGGTCAGCCAAGCAAGGTGGTTGAGCTTGAGCACGGAGCTATATAGCTTGGGTGTGGACCTATGGAGGAGGGTATGCCAGAAAACGCTAGTGTTTTCAATGGCAACGACTCTAGGCAGACAGTGGATGGTATGATTCATTTAGGTGGAACCCCTCGGACCCCGACTTCTCAAGGCCCACTTGATATAAGTCCAAGCAGTGTTTCTCTTCATCCTCACAACAGAAAACACTGAGGAAATGTAGCTCTTGATGACGACGGATCCAAAGTAAGTACCATTTCTAGAACTCTCAACACTGATGTTGATATTTTACAGATTGTTTCTACTTATGGAATTTATCCTATGGTCCTATGTCGTCGAGCTGAAGTAGGGGAGCCTGCTTGTGAAGAATCCTCTGGAGATATTGCTATTTATGAGGAGGTACTTGAGGTTGGGCTGAGGTTTCTCATGCCTTCTTTTATTTGTCACATTCTCCATTATTTTTCACTTGCGCCAGGGCACTTGGCGCCCAATGATTAGAGAGTCCTGCTAGGATTCCTTGCACTGTGGAGGAAGGAGCATCATGAGAACGCTTCTCCTAAGGAGTTTTGTGTGGCCTACACTTTGAATGAGACTCCTGCTCCTAACCGTGGTTGGTACTACTTCACTCTGAGGGGAGATAAATTGATTATTGAATTGCGCTCTAATTGCCATTGCTAGAAAGCTCGCTTTATATCTGTTGGAGAAGAGTGGGCTTCAGATGCAAACAGGACTTTGGTACCAACAAGATGGGACACTCCCAAGAGAATTTGTATGCCTACTCTTATTCTTTTTATTTTGTTTTTTACGAACGTGTATTCATCACATTTCTTCAGGCTCCCCGATGCTCTCAAAGGAACAACAATGAAAATTTCAAGTTGTGAAGCCCCATCCTGTGAAGGACTTCAGAACCCTCATGCTCAAAGAGGATGGAACTGGAGACTCTCAACTGTAAGTGCTAGGGTTGGTGCACCCTCTTCTAGCCTTGGCGACTCTTCCTTGAAGAGAAAAGGTATGTTGATTCCCTTAGGATTCTCTTCCTTTACTTGGTTTTTCTACGAGCTAACACTTTACCACTCTACAGTAGATAGGGCAGTGGTGGAGTCCCGTTATTCCTCTAGGAGTACTCCTCCACCTAAGATGGCTAGGGTGAGTGATGCTCTGGTAAACCCTTCTCAAATGACCCCTCCAATGGCACCTTCCTAGTTAGCGACTCCTTTAGAGGTTACTGTGGTGATCGCCCCTCCAGAGACTCCTCAGGCAGCTACACCTCCTACACCCAATTCATCAACTCCTCCTACAGGGACTTCTGCAGGGGGTAGCCACTTAGACTGTCTCCATGTTAAACGACATCAGTCAGGTTAGTGCTCGAGGTATTGAGGGTATCATCTACACTACTTTGGAAAGCTTGGCCCAGGTAAAGGTTTGCTTTCTCCCTTACTCTTGTCTCTCCCTTAGGTACTAACATTATTTCATCTTCTTCAGGTTTCAGCTACTTTTGTATGCCTTTTTTCAAGGGCTTTTTAGTTTAGTCACCTGAGCTCAACTGTTAGGGAGGAGAGGCTTGCTTATGAAGTTGTGAAAAGAGAGTTTTTTGCAACTTAGAAGAGGATTGCTAACCTTGAGGCTGATGGTAAGGCTTCCTAGCCTGAGCTTGCGGCGACCCTCAAAAGAGCCACGCTCAGAGAGGCTACTTACACAAGGGCTAAAGCAAAGCTTGTGGTGACCCGCAATAGGGCTACTAAGCTCGAGGCAGATGGTGAAGCTACCCACTTGAGAGCGAAAACAAAGGTAAAGGTAGCTCGCGAGAGGATTTTCCAATCTGAGGCAGATCTGTAATTGGCTCATGAGAGGGCCACCAAGAGGACTGGCGGGCTCTAAGTAGGTAGGCTGCAACAGTGGGCTTCTGGGCGGTGCTCATGGAGAGAGAGAGAGATGGGAGGCGCCCAAGGTGCTGAGGTAAGTGCCCAAGACACTAAGGCAGACGACGCCCATGGAGATAGAGAGAGATGGGAGGTGCCCAAGGCGCTGAGGCAGACGCCCAAGGGGCTACTGGGAGGCACCCAAGGGGCTACTGGAGGCACCCAAAGGGGTGACGCCAAAGGATGTTTGTGGTCTGGGCAACACCTGGGAGGCCTAGGGAGTCAGCCGGAGTATTAGAAAATCATAAAAAAAAGGACAAAACTTTGAACGGTCATAACTTTGCACACAGTTGTCAGTTTGAGGCAATTTTTTTTTTCTGAATCTAGGTATTTTTTTGAGATCTACGACATACAAATAGTCAAAGGCAGTTTGGTCAACAAATTTTCCCAAAAAATGCTTCCATCTCTCTGAATTTGAGTTTTGACCGCAAATTAGTGAAACTAACGGTGGTGGAATACTGTATTCTAGCAACCTTCTATTAGGCACTCATGGACGACGGATTGTCATTCTGGGTTTTTGCCAAAGAGGGAGACTATGATGGCTTTCGACTGGATAAGAGGCGAATCCTCTTTCTCCAATCCTGTTCTCTTCTTAATATTTTCTCGATATTGGTTATTTATACTAACCTTGTGTCTAATTATAGGTGCCCGGTTGATAAGGCGATGGTGGAGGCTCTCTATGCTTTTAGGGTGGTGTCTTCCCCTCGTCTCAAGAGGATGAGGTTTGATGCCCACCTTCGCAGAATTTTATTTCATAAATAATAAATAACAGAATAAATTAACTGAAACAATAAAAGATAGATAAAATGAGAGACACTAGCTTGTATTCGTTATTGATAACAACTCTTCAGGTGTTTGACATCTCTTAGGTGGGCCAAGGCTTTCCTGGCGGAGTTCAAGTCGCTTCCTCCTCCTAACCCTCAGAAGATTGTCTGAATTTCTCCGAGGGGTTGTTGGTGTTCTCTGTCGTTCTGGTCCCGTCCAAGTGGCGGGGCTTGTCCTCTTCCAGCAACGTACTGCCTTAACTAGCCACATTGTATGAGCTTTGTGATCTACCTTTTAAGATCAAAGTAGTCGTCAGTATCATGGTCATGGTCTCGATGGAAACGACAGTACTTGTTCGGGCTCCTCCAATTTGGGACAGTCTTAATCTTCTCTGGCCAGCTTACTGTAGGATTATCCTATATTTGGAATAGGATATGCTCCATGGAAGCGTTGAGCGGCGTGAAGGCTTGTCGTTCTCTTAGAGGTGGGGGACCAAGGTGGTCCTTAACAGAGATTCTTTCTGTCTTATTCCTTTTGTTCTCTACTTTTTGCTTGTCCTCACAGGTGTCCTTCCTCTTCTCATCCCCATGGGAAGACTCACCTCATCTAGCCTTGGTGATATCCTCATTTTTCATATACTTTTGTGCCCTTGACAGCAACTCGAGCATGCTGGATGATGGCTTCTTGAGGACGGAGAACATAAAGTTGGAGAAGCACAGACCCGCGATAAAGGTGGCCAAGGTTACCTTATTGTTTGACTCCTCAATCTGGAGAGCTTTCTCACTGAAATGAGTGAGGTAGCTTCTAAGACTTTCATCCATATTCTACTTGATTGTGAGCAAGTGGGTAACGAGTTTCTGGTGACGATGTCCCCCAATGAAGTGGGAGACGAAAAACTTGCTTAACTCCGCAAAAGAGTGGATGGAAGAAGGCTTGAGCTTGGCAAACCATTGGCGTGAGGATCCCTTGAGGGTGGTAGGGAAACCTCCGCACATAATCTCATCAAGTACGTTGTAGAGTTGTATGATAGATTTTGTAGGTGTCCAAATGATCCAATGGGTCTTTGATACAGTCGAATATCTCGATGACGGGCATCTTGAACTTCAAGGGTAAGGGGTAATTGTCTATTTTTGCAGTAAACGGGGTATCAATGCATCTTATCAGGTAATCCACCGTCTCGGGCGCCTGCACCTTGATGGCGTTGAGAGCATCACTGAATTGGTTTTGCACATCTCTGATCTTCTCGTCCCATTGGTTGGGGACATCCTCCGTTGGGTTGTTGTACTAGCGTCTATAATCGTCATACTGACTTTCTCATTCGTCTTTCTATGCAGGTTCATGAGGAAGGGGAACACATGAGCTTCCTGTGCACTGAGGAGAGACTGTTGGGCGAGGGGCGCCCTGGCATGGCCTCGAGGCATTCTAATGAGGGACTCCATGGTGGTGGGCTACTTGGCACCCAGAAGGGTTAGGTTGCTGCTTCTCTCTCGTTGGAGAGAGTGGGGATCCTCCCACGAGGTGAGGGGCGACGCCTCCATAAACGAGCATCAATTGAATGATCTATTGGTTTTGGTTTACCAACAGCTACATGGTCTGTAGGAGTTGTTGCCCGATGACGGGAGTCGCCGTAGCAGATAGTTCCAAATGTGCGAAAGGAGGCGGAGCCTCCTCCCAGGTTGTTGTCTCCCGGTTGTTGACTCATCGATCTAGTTGTAATTACCATGGATTAAAGAGTAGAAAACCTGGTCGTTTTCCACAGAAGACGTCAAACTGATGATGCACAAATTGATCTCGTGCATGATCAACAATCGAATATATGAAGGNTGTTGTCTCCCGGTTGTTGACTCATCGATCTAGTTGTAATTACCATGGATTAAAGAGTAGAAAACCTGGTCGTTTTCCACAGAAGACGCCAAACTGATGATGCACAAATTGATCTCGTGCATGATCAACAATCGAATATATGAAGAGGTGTAATTATTAGACAATAAATAAAGCAATCGATGACAAAATAGTAAATATAAGCAAACACACAGATATATAATAGTTCGGTCTGGGTGACCTACTCCACTCTTGGGAAGCGACAACAGTGACTAGAGGTCTTTATTGATGAATAAAGTAACCAGTGGAGAGCTCCGAGCGAGTTACAATGACTAGGAGAGAGAAGCTATGTATATAGGTGTAGAAAGGTGTGTTGGAATAGATGTTGTGAGATGCCTCTCTATGTGGAGAGAGCTTACAGTAAATAGGTTTTGTGAAACAGTGACATGAGTGAAAGGGCACTACTTTTTTAGTAAGTATAATTATGGTATAATTGATCTTTATGAATTTATATCCCGATAATCTCTCTCTCACGTACTCCTATCGTCTCGGGCTCCTTGGATTTTGGACTGGGTTGAATCGATAAAGTGGACTTAGACTATCGTTTAGCTAATTTAGGCTTAGTTGATTTATTGGGTCTGATCCAATTAATTTTGAACTCATCAGTTGTCATTTTTGACGAGTCGGTCCAAAAAGTACGAATTTTGACCAATCATCATTCACTTGTGAAAATAAAGGTGAATTGCACTTTATAGTCAAAAAGATTTTAATTTTCTCACTTTATATCTTAAAAAATTAAATCTTTTATATTATATTTTTAATGTATAAAAAATATTACAATGTTAGCTTTCTGTTAGTTTTTTAATCAATGTCAATGGGTTGACTTTTGACGAAAAAAATAATAGAAACTAACAAAAAAATTATATTATAATATTTTTGATATATTAATAGTACAATATAAAAAAATTTATCTTTAAAGATGGAAAGTGAAATATTTAAAATTTCCCATTGTGTAAAGTGTAAAAAACCCTGAAAACAAAGTCACCGGTTTGAAAGAGGTGTGTATAACATTATACCTCAGGGCGCGTGAGTGATATTATTTTCTTTTGACGGAATAGAATATCACTCAGGAGTCTGACTAGGGTTAGGGTTTTCCTTGCGAAGCAAAATCAGAGAAGCTCTCACTCTGTAACCAACAGTTCGCATACAAGCATCCAAATCTCTCGTCTATCGGTAATAAGCTTCATTTACATGTATACGCGCACACACACATATACACCTAATACGTTTCTATTATCAGATCCCTGAACGTATTCATGGTTGCTGTTGTTCGTTAAGAAGATTTCGGATTTGGGTTTTTTGTTACCTTTCATGTATCACTTTTAAGCGTATGATTGATAGTGTGAGCAATTATGGTGGTAGAGATAGTATTGGCTGGAGATTTTCTTTTACAACCGTTTATTTATTTCTTATTGCCGACTCTTTTTCTTCTTCTTCAATTTGATGGATCAGTNCGTTAAGAAGATTTCGGATTTGGGTTTTTTGTTACCTTTCATGTATCACTTTTAAGCATATGATTGATAGTGTGAGCAATTATGGTGGTAGAGATAGTATTGGCTGGAGATTTTCTTTTATAACCGTTTATTTATTTCTTATTGCCGACTCTTTTTCTTCTTCTTCAATTTGATGGATCAGCCTGGAATCTGGACTTGAGATAGTTACTCAGTAAAATTGATGAAATTGATGTCTGTATTTTATGAAATTGATGTTTAGCTTTTGGGGATTTCCATATGGTTGGTTCTCTTGTGGAAGGAAAATGGACTGTTTTGTAGAAAAGAATGATTAGGATTTGAAGATGATTTTGTCCACTTCGTTTTACACAACTGCCACCGGGTTGGTAAATTTTTTTTTCCAAGTAAGCCTGGCANGGATTTGAAGATGATTTTGTCCACTTCGTTTTACACAACTGCCACCGGGTTGGTAAAAAATTTTTTCCAAGTAAGCCTGGCTATGCCTTTGATGTATTTGCCCAAATCATTTTAAGATTTTGTTTGCGAAAAAATATTCATGAGGGTTTATATGGAGAATGATCTTCATATTGGAAATATAAAGGTCAAGATTTTCATTTTTTGCCAGTATTTGATATACTTTATGTTACTTTAATGGTTGAAAACTTGTGCAAGGATGGTGTGAAGCGTGCCACCATAAAGTTTTGTTTTTTCATTTGAAATGAAAGATTTGTTTGCACAAACCTATGTTAGCTACTGGGTGATTGGATTGGTTTGGGATCAAGTCTTAGGCATCAGAGGTTTCAGTAATTGTAACATGATAAATCATCTTGGGAGAAGGGAAACCTAATTACAAGCAGTTATGCCCCCCTGGGGCACAAAGTAAATTGAGGATATGATTGTGATCAGTCTTGTTTATAGATGGAGAACTACTCTTTTTACGAGCTCTTCTCATTATTTGCAATCTATCCACTCTTACATTGATGCGAACAAAGTTCCTGCTTGTGGGTCTGTCATAGGTGACAATATTGTTCCTTACGACTTTACCATATTCGGGTAAGCCTTACTGTTTTGTGTTCTAGTAGATCTAGATATCGGCAGAGCTTTCATGATACTTTCAGCTTACCCACATGGGTGGCGCCAGGATTTCCAAGCTAATGCTTTCATGGCACTTCCCTTGCACGCCATTCCCTTATGGGTTTTACTTGAATTGTGGACAATCAGTTCCAGAAAATTTGCCAGAGACTTACAAGTTAGGGAGTTGAACATCTCATTGTTATTTCTTTTATTTAGTTTTTATGGAAAGGAAAAAAGAAAAAGAAGATGATACATTACCAATGCATCAGTCATATTGAGTAGTCGTTGGAAATTTCCAGTTGAACGGTACCTCTATGGGGCAGAAATTGACAGTTGTTCATATCATCATCACATGGGCCAGCGCTGTTAATTTGTTTCTTGAATGTGTGTTATTTATGGTTTATTTTTATACAACAAAGTCAATAAAGTTCTATATCTTGTGCATCACTTAGATGAGCTGAGGAAACTATCCAAATTATGAAGCTGCTTTTATTATATTCTTAATAACAAACTGGAAAAAGTAAGTATAATGGTGCTATTCTTTTTAGTATGGAGGTTTTTTTAACTGCTTGGCATCCTTGCTTGGGGGTGGGGTTGGGTTAGGAGTTTGACTTTTATCATCTCTGCCAAAACATAATTGTTGTTTAGCTGTATCTTTCCCCTTTTTCTTTTTCAAGTTAGTAGTTTCTTACGGTCTGAAGAGCTTGAATGCATATTTTTTCATGTGGTGGTCCTTGTCAGCCTTTTCATTTTTTAGCATTTCCTTTTCAGTATCACACGATGGAAGAGGAAGAGCACCGTTGTTTTATTGGGAACCTTTCATGGTCAACAACTGACAGAGGTTTGAAACAAGCATTTGAAAAGTTTGGCCATGTTCTTGATGCTAAGGTATCCAATGATTCAAAATAGGTTTTCTTTCTTTGTATCCCTTAAATTTGGCGTTATGTTCTTCATGAAGGCAGACAGTGTCTTCATCCTTCCTTATTTATTTGTTTGGCTATACACATTCCTATTTTTCAGGTGCGTGGCTATGCCAGGAACTTGGTTTGTTTTGAAGCTGTTAGAAATTCTTTATTGTGGTGATGCTCAACTTTGACCTTTTTGTTTGGTTTTGAAGGATTTAAAATTTTTTCTGATATTGATTGACAAATATTTGAGTTCTTCCTACACNCTTGGTTTGTTTTGAAGCTGTTAGAAATTCTTTATTGTGGTGATGCTCAACTTTGACATTTTTGTTTGGTTTTGAAGGATTTAAAATTTTTCCTGATATTGATTGACAAATATTTGAGTTCTTCCTACATATACTCCAATTATTATTAATAGATAAATGAAACTTGGGTATATTTTTTTAGTGGTGCCCAGGGTTGGATTTGACTACAAATTCCAGATCTTCATAGCTATTTTTTAATTCTTTTGGGTGGGTGCAGGCAAGGGTAAAGGGATTCAAATGTTTCCCTCATGATTGAGAGGCAGAAGGCCCACAAGGGGTGATGGCAGTGAACACTCGTACAAAAATGAATTTTACATTTGATTATAATTTTGAGTTTAATAGGCTCTTATTGACAAAGTAAGGATTCCGTTTTAAAGTAATGAATTCAATGTAGAATGACTTTTAGTGTTAGGATTTGGTTAAATCTCTATGATCTGTCCAATACGTGAGCTATGCTATTGTGGTTTTTTTCTCCTCCTATTTGGGTTTCAGTTTTGGTTGGGGCAAACTAAGACGTAGAGTTTTCACATCTTTATTTCAGGTTGTCATTGACAAGTCTTCCGGACGTTCTCGTGGATTTGGGTTTGTCTCCTTTGAGAGTGAGAAAGAAATGGAAGATGCTATTGAGGAAATGAATGGAATGGACTTAGATGGGCGGGCTATTACTGTAGACAGATCTCAGCCAAACCAGGGCTCTGGTAGAGACCGGGATGGTGGCCGTGATCGTGATCGTGACCGTGACCGTGGTCGTGATCGTGATCGTGATTATGGAACTGGACGAGGATCTGGCGGGGACTGCTTCAAGTGTGGCAAGCCTGGGCATTTTGCCAGGGAATGTCCATCTGGAGAAGGGTCAAGAGGAAGTAGATATGGTGGGAGGGATGACAAATACGGAGGTGGCAGTCGGTACGGACCTGATCGAAATGGGGATCGCTCTGGTGGGCGCAACAGGGATGGTGGTAGTCGTGGAGGACCTGGAAATGACAGATACAATCGTGATCGTTCAGGTCCATATGAGCGCCGTGGGCCTGGAGGTTACCGTTCTTGATGAAGAGATGGCTACATTAATGGTATGCAACTATTGCTGTTTTGTGCTAACTTTTTATTTATCACTACAGTTGGATTAATGGCATCATAATGCTTTCTTTTTCAGCTGTGTCAATGAAGCTAGCACTGTTGGAAACTGTGTGACAGCATGCGATAGTCTCCAGATCAATTTCATCTCTTTTTCCATCTCTTTTCCTGCCAGTTTCAGACTTGGCATGCATATGTTTTGTTCAACTTGTTCCAGTTGCTTAAGTTGCTATAGTTGCTGTTTGGTTCCTTTTGCTGTTTGAATTTCAATTGTTGCTGCTGGTGGATTAAGTATGATTGCTTCCATGTGGATGTTCTGGATTATCAATGTGGTTTCGATATTGCTGAGAAAATGAGTGGTATCAGTGTATTACTGCCGATAAAGGTGTTCGCTGTAAGAGTTTGCTTCTCATCCTTGTGATGGAAGCTGGAATTCTAGACTAATGGCTTTTACTTCAATATTCTTCACTGAAACTCAGTTCAAAGCAACCATTGACTGAATTTGAACAGGTTAAATTTCCAGTACGTATTTCTCTGCTTCCCCTACAAATTCTTACTTGTCATCTCATATGATATTAATATGTTCGACATTTGGCAGGCTATTTGACCTTTCCTTGTCTTCGCGGTTCTTGTTTGGGTTTCGTTGTTGCTGCTAGTCATGGCTCAGTAATAGTTATAGCATTTTAAAAAATGGGAATGGGATTTTTGCTACGTCAACAGACTTTCTGCAATTTTAACTTGCCGAAAGCCACTTTTACTGACATGGGACATTGATGGAAGGAGTTCTGTTGCATTTTCTTGGTCATTGACCTGGTAGCAACTGTGGTTGGTTGTCATTGATATGATCCATCCTTGCCTTGTTCCTATATTGGGAAAGGTTGTGGCTCTGCATGGCTTTTTTTTGCTTACCCTACTTGTGGTGCATCACCCGGGGTTTGGAGGCTAGGATCAGGCTGGTGGCAATGTTTGCCTTTTGCTTGCATAAAAAATTGGCGTCTTTATTTGCATTCAAAGTTTCACACCGAGGATTGAGTCCCATTCTAGATATCTTCCTGTGAATTGATACCCTGTTTCGTTTAATCCCTTACTGAGTCCTCATTGATTGACATAGTTCTAGTTATTGATGGCAATACTTTTTGGCTAACCTTGCTTCTCTGTTATGGTATCCTGTTATTCTGGAACCCCACCAGGTTTGTTGTTCCGTCTTTGTCTGCCGATATTAGTTAAACTTGGTCTTGTCTCTTGGAACAATAAATAATCAAAATATTGTACTCTCTGATGGCTTCAGTTAGAGAATGGCTATTTGCTTTCATTCCTTCTCATGTAGTTGACAGTAAGTGAACTGATTCATGTTCCTGCCTGATATCTAGTACACAATTTAATGAAAACTATGCATCTCAGACAATTTGCTATCTAAATAGNAGTTGACAGTAAGTGAACTGATTCATGTTCCTGCCTGATATCTAGTACACAATTTAATGAAAACTATGCATCTCAGACAATTTGCTATCAATGTCTGTTGCATCTGTTACTTGTCTGTGTGCATTCTTAAAGTTGTTTTTCTTGGCTTTCTACTTGATGGTAGTTATCAATTTGCTGCTTCAGAATTTGACTGCACGAGTATTATGTTTGAAAAATTAGTAATCATGCGATCTTCCGGAGTTTCTTACTAGTCAACGTTTATTTTTTTAACTTTTTCTACCGAAAACAATAATTTGACAAATAAGTGTGGAAATGTAATTGTAAGTTGTACCCTGAAAAGTAGTTCAAATTTTAATTTGTACCTCCAAAGATTAAAAATTTCAATTTGTAACTTTAAAAATATAAATTTGTATCAATGTGTACCTTTAAATATCAAAAATTTTAATTTTTACCTTCAAAGATAAAAATTTGTATTAATGTGTACATAAAATTAAATTGATAAATTATACCTAGATTCTCTTATGTTTGTCATTTAATCATTTGAATCCCTTCACATATAGAATATTACTCTTACATCTCATGACGTTTGTGTACGTGTAACACGTAACCCTTTTTCGTCGATATTTGTTAATATAAGCGTTAAAAAATATGATTTTATTCTAATAAAAAATTATAATTTCGTATTTTCTTTTATTTTGTGGGTTTGATATACTTTAAAATTCAAAATCAAGTTTATCATTTGAATGTCTAATAGAATGTAAATATTTATATAAGCTTGATTTTAAAGTTTAGAGTATATCGAATCCACAAAATAAAGGGTAATATGAAATTATAATTTTTTATTATGACAAAATCATATTTTTAAAATTTTATATTGACAGATATCAACGAAAATGAGTTACATGTTACACGTGCACAAACGTCATGAGATGTATGAGTAATATTTTAAATGTGACGGGGTTCAAATGATTAAGTGACAAGCATAAGAGATTCTAAGTATAATTTATCAATTTAATTTTAGGTGTACATTGATACAAATTTCTATCTTTAAGTGTGCAAATTAAAATTTTTTATCTTTGAAAATGCACATTGATATAAATTTCTATCTTTGAGGGTACAAATTGAGATTTCTAATCTTTAGGGGTGCACATTGATATAAATCTCTATCTTTGAGGGTACAAATTAAAATTTTTGATCTTTGAAGATATAAATTGAGATTCAAACGATCTTTCGAAGTGCAATTTACAATTAACCCAACTTAATAATAAGAGTATGACAAAATAAAATTAAGCATAATATTTTTATATCAATCCCAACCTTTTTTGAAGTCTTAATTTTCTTGTTACAAAATTCCAGTACGGAACTCACTACTGTAACCATACCTCTCTCAATTCTCTCTTTTTGGGGTTTTTTTTTCCTCTCTTCGGTAGGGTATCACATATGTAATCATAAAATCTGGTTCCAGGCACTAATATTGCTCACCAGTGATTTCACCCAACACTGGAAAAAGAAAAATAACAGATGTACTTAAATGAATATGTCAACCCAAGGATTTTATATGCGTGGGACAGAGAAAAAGATCGAAGAAATACGGAAAAAAAAAAAATTCGACTTAGATTATAATTATCGATGATTTATATACACCACACTAGAACAGAGGTAAAAAGGGCAGAGTCCCAAAAATTGAATTTTAAACTAGAAAATAAATAATGGAAACAGGAAGGCACAACAAAAGAGAGGAAAATATGAAGAAAAAACAAGGGGAGAAAATGGTGTTTACTGCTTTTCATGAGTCTGCTCAGCCCTTATATATATATATTATCATAATAAATGTATAATGCAAAAGAAGGGGTAACGGAGAATTTCCTCCATTAGATTAGTTGAAGTTGGCTAGATGGTGATACAGCTCCTTCAGATCTGCTGGCAGTCTGGCTAGCAACCGATGACTTGTCCGACCCACGAACATTGTACCTCTCATAAACCTTCTCCCGGTTCTCTGACCACCAAGTCTCAGCTTGGTGCTCTCCAAATCTTCTCCGGCTGTAGATACAAGACAACATCAGGTTTCCTTTGATTCAAACGGAAAATTTATTTAGATAATGTTTTACATCAAAATGCAGATTGAAAACAAACAATAAACCTAAGTGGATGATTTTGGAACATTTTGACACGTAAACTCCGGCAAGTTTTCAATCAAATGTTGACACTAAGTATTGATATTTTATATAAATATTCAATCCTATACGACATAGGTTACCAATATTTGGTCAATTAATAAGCAATGTTGTTTCCTCTATTTGACAGTGACAATCATATATGCTCAGCTGATATAATTGGGAGACAATTAGGCTCAAGTACCTGAAGCGCACTCGTTTAAGATCTCTAGTTCCATCCCGGCATGCTACAAGTGTTATATACACACCAGGCTCGTACTGTTCGATCCATTCAGCCTCAACTTGATTAGCATTGCCAGTCACATCAGAATTGCTAGATTTCTTACCATTCTCACCATCTTGGAAAGGCCCAGATTCCCTGTTGTCAACAGCCTCACCAATGATTCCTGCTTGAACACCTCCACTGCCATTAGGAAGTCTGACATCTGAATGGTAATCCTCGCCATTCGAGGTCAAAATCCCCTGGGTATGATTGAATGAGTTAGTTTCCTTGTTTCCAGCTGCGTCCTCCGTTGATTTCTGAAGCTCCAATTCTTGTAGTTCACATCGTTGTCTCAGGCTCTCGACCTGAATCAAGCATGATGAGGAATGTATTCAAATGAAAAAAAAAGCNGTCTCAGGCTCTCGACCTGAATCAAGCATGATGAGGAATGTATTCAAATGAAAAAAACGTAAGGCATTCCAAAAAGTCCTGAATGTACCTGAGCACGTAATCTGAGAACTTCTTGATTCAGCAGTTCATTACTCTTCTTCATACTATCAGTGATGCTTTTAGAAAAAGAAAGCCCTGATGTGGTAGGAACAGGTGTTGCTGAACGTGGGGGGCTGGGTTTCCTTGAGAAAGGTGACACTGACCTGGAACTAACACCAGATGGTGTAAGAACTGGTTTGGGAACTGTTCGACGCATGTCAACAGCAGTGGACAAAACATACATATCAGCCTTCTTTCCTTGTTTGACTACTTTGTTATCTAACTGTTTAATAAAATCAAGATTGGACGGTATTGCCAACTTGGCCAATCGTATATCAGCCTTGTCTAACCTTTCTTTGTTTTCACCAGAGAGGCGTGGTACAGCATTTCTCCTGCTGTTGACACCAGCTTCTGCCATCTTGCTCAGTTTTGCAAAACAAGAATCACACACGCGATACGGCTTGCTGGGATTAGGAGCTAGTGCAGCTCTTAGTGCTTTTCTGGAACTGCATGAGTGGCAGTGCACAAGCCCACAGTTATAGCAGTTGTGCCTCTTCCTTGTAAAGCCAAAAGCCTGTCTACAAGCTGAACACTGAGACTGCTCAGCACCAGAAACCCATTTGTGAAGACATATAGCTGCTGTGTAGTTTGATCCACAAGCAATATATTTAACGTGTCTATCCTTCAAAGCTTCAACTAAGGTTGGTGTCTTCCGATCTTCAACATCTCCATGACCCAGTCTCCCATTAGCTCCCTTTCCCCATGTATAGACTTCATTTCTGGATGTCAATACTGCCACATGATAGGAACCACACACAATTTCTTCAACAGATTCCCCAACAAGCTTATCTTCTACCAAGCAAGGTAGCTTCCCATCAGATTGGGGATTGCCAAGTTGACCATAAACAGTCCTCCCCATTGTGAAGACATGTCCTAATGTGGTCAAGCCAACAGTTATACTGTGCCCACAAGCAATTTCGTCAAAATCATAATCAATAAGCGCTGAAACACATGTAGGTTTAAGCCGAGGTTCCTTGTCTCCATGTCCAAGACGATTTTTATCTCCATCACCCCAAGTGAACAATTTTCCAGATGAAACACTTGAACTAGACTGTGTGACAATAACCTCCACTATGGCAGCAGTGTGCCATACACCACATGCAACAGCAATTGTCCTCAACCCTGACAGAGATTCAACCTCCCTTGGGTATGAAACAGTTTCCCTGTCTCCATGGCCCAAAACACCAAAGGTTCCATCACCAAATGTAAAGAGCTGCCCTGTTGATGTTATCAAGGCCGTATGCCATGGCCCGCAAGTAACCATATCAACTCGAAGTCCCTCAAAGGGACCAGCAATTCTCTTGGGCATCCAGTGACTGACATCAGTACCATGACCAAGAAGCCCAGCATTATGTGTCCCATCTCCCCATGTATAAAGTTCACCAGAAGCAGTAACAGCACAAGTATGAAATTCTCCACATGCAACAAAATCAACACTGCAAAATGCTAATGATTCAACTAAGCGAGGTTGAGCAACATCTTTCCCAAAACCATGGCCCAGTCGTCCTCCAGATTCTTCACCCCATGTGAAAACTTCACCTTGTTTAGTGACTAAAGCAGCATGCCGAACCCCACAGGCTATACGATGTACATCCAAAACTACATTGGACTCTAACAGCCTGGGAAGAAGCACATCAGCTCTTCTGCTCAAAGAACTACCATTTTTATCGGCCCCAGCCCTGACAAGATTATCAGATATCACCTCGCCCCATATATATACATCCCCAAAAGCATCACAGTCATCAGGTGCAGAACCATGACTAGAGGTGCTGTGGGCACTAGAAACACTAACCCGAAAAGCATCTGAACCAGATCCTTTTACTTGCATAATTGTTTGGTCCAAAGCTACATATGATCTTTCACAATGCACAGGATTCTCAGGCCTATGATCCTGGGGAGAAGTATTTGTGTTGGAACTGACAGAAACTTCTGAATAGCTATTATCTCTTGTAGTACTGACTGAACTGTCACTTGGACTATTTGATGTCAAGTCTCTGTTATCCTGAAATCAATTGACCAGAAACTTATGTATCAGACATCAAGCACAGCTGTCAGGATGGGAGAAAACAACACGCGGGCTGAATTTCTTGCGTAATCCTCCAAATTAATAGAAACCTAACTCTATTACTAGTTAAGCACTGCAATTTCATATTTTTTCAGAAGTCTGTCCTATAGCCATGGTTTCACAGTTTGTTCCATATGAAGGTATTATTTTGATATTTAATAATGTATCCAATTACTACTTCTCTCATCAATCTACATCTAACATCCAAATGCACGAGACATATGATAATAGGTCAGATAAGTATTGCATATTAGCATGGACAAACTGCAGGATAGCATTGGAGAACAACCAGTTTGTAACAACCCAGTCTTCTGAGTTGAGAGATCCACAACCGGAATGGAAAGCAATACAATGTCATTAGTTGCAATAAGGTTTCAAAAACTTCCTCTTCGACAAATTTAGCAGATGAGACTCATGAGACAATGAACCAAGTGGAGTGATCCTGTTGAAACTTGAAACAGGTTGGAAAAACTAACTCAACTTTTTTCTTAGGGTTAGCAGTTGCAAGTCTAGTATTTTTATGTTTGTTGATCCTTACCACACAAAAAAGATGACACCCCAATATAAAAATACAAAACAACTTTCAAGTCAGGGCAAGTTACCTCAAAACAGAGGCCTCCATCACTCCATCCATCAATTTTTGAGCGCCCACCTTGCCCTGAGGATATTAATGCTTTAAGGCCAGTAATCCACACCTCTGCTTCACATTTGTCTTTACAAATCTGAAAATAAAAACAGGAAGAATTTTATAATTTCATTTAGAACCCAGAGGAAAAGCCAATGACATGTAATTTAAGGAGAAACTGAAAATCCATCACCAACCAGGTCAAGAGATCGTTTTCCGTTGTTGTATATAAGAGAAAAGGACAAGTAGTCCTTTTCGGGACGCAGATATCGTTGGAAAACAGCCTGATGTAAGATAAAAGGACAAGTTAGAATAAGATTCATTTCATCTTTTTTTATGAGTAGAACAACTTTAGTTGGAAGTTGTGTTTTAACATGTACAAAAGCAGTTATATCAATGTCATTCAGCAATCAAAATAAAAATATCGCGACAAAGCAAAAGAGAGATTTAAAAAATAAAAAATAAAAAAGAATATGAAAGACTTACGGTTCTTTGTCCAGGAAGAATTCTTGAAGCTGAAGCTAACTTCAAACTTCTTTCTCCACTACGAGAAATCCAGATTAAAGATGATTCATCCTGTTTTTTTGGATACAAAATCATTAGCTAGAATTTAGAATAAATCCAGCAACCATCACATATACACATATTTCATTCAGACTGATAAGATAGCCATTTGAATTTGAAATTCTCCGTCCTTCTGTCAAGGCAGTGCAATACACATGCTGACCCGAATAAGTCCTAACATCTTGAAGTCCAGAAAACTGGCTGGTTTAATGGTCTCCCCTAAACCCATTCACTTATGCAGTTGTGAGGAGGGTGTCTGTTCCCTCAAGGTTGAGTCAAGTCAATTATTCGCACAAACAGAGAAGCCTTTAATTCGTATTTCACTCAAACACTCGTGAATCTAGCACAGAAATTGTCATCTATTGCAAATATTTCACACCACAGATAAAACACAACCAGCACACCGGTAAACATGGCAACTAACTACCACAGAGAGATACACCCAAAACTACCAAAGAGAATTACTTAAAATGCTGGATGTTAAGATTTTTCCATCATGAAGAGCAACAGCTGATGGTTTAATCAAGATGTCGAAAGGAAGGTTTATTCTATTATGGACCTTCAAAATACAAAGGACAGATATATGCTCATCATTAATGTAAAGAAGTTTCTCCGGAGCTCATTCTTCAACCAAATTTTGAACGACCAATTTCAGAAAGGTTGAAGGACAGAGAGCACAATGACCCGGAAAAAAAATAAGGAAAAAAAGCACTAGAATGTCAGGGTTGGTGTGAGAAATCACCGTCTGCTGAAAAATAAGCTGACTCTACCTTATTCAAATGTCCTAAAACCAGGGCCACAAACAAACCGAGCCAAGCCAAGTACCCGGCTGCTTAAGATCAAGTCAAACTCACAATTTGTGCTTGAATAATGGAAGCAACTCATCAGCTCACACTGGTTGGGCTTGTCTACTCCATTATTCAGAAACATGTATTCTCACTGACAACAAAACACTTTTTCAAACCTTGAATACAAGAAAGTTCAAAAAATTGAAAGCTGAAATACAATAGGTGATATATATCAACAATCAAAACGATTGTGTCAGCAAACCAAAAAAAAATGTGCAAACAAACCTCACATAAAGACGCAAGCTTGGCTTAAAACAAAAAATATTGGATCTGTTATCCTCATGACCATTCAAGTACAAGTCTAGAACATTCAAGCATCATATTCAACTAGCATGCTCAATGCTCGATCCCGCTGACATGGGGCAGTAAGCGTGATGAATTCCTAGAAAACAACCAGGCAGTGACTCAAACTTACTTTCTAAAGTGGGAACACATCGATCTTACCTACCATTTGGGGTTCACTTTCAACCAAAGCAAACGGCCTTCCTCACCACCTTTCACTAAAAATTTAAGATATGCACAAGAAACTAAAAAACCAAGTTTGGGGTTGTTTTGACTCAGCTCATTAAGTAGCCTTAAAACTGGGATCTATCTCAAGCCTTTCACAAACTGGTCGATCTGTTTGCATCCACACCTAAAATTTTAGCAGTTTAAGAGTTGTTTGGTGAATGAGAACACTAGAAATTGAACTATAGAAGTCAACCTATGACTTCAATTACAATTACTGCTGTATGACATTTCTAAAATGAAGCCATAGCAGAAACAGGCACCACATTAGACACAACATTCGTCCAACATAGGCCAGATATTAAGAAATCTCCAAACGTAGTTCGTTGGCAACATCATGTGGCCTTTTAGACTAAAATACGAATACATTTGGACAGAAAATAACAAGAGCTCTAATGGAGAATATATCACACACACACACACAGACACACACGAGAGAGAGAGAGAGAGAGAGAGAGAGAGAGAAGGCGGAGAGGAAACAAAGGAACATTAGTTTGCAGAAGATGAAGGGCAACAAAACAAAGGGGAACCATTTTTACAAAGAGATGAGGTCAGGTGTCCGGTAATACATCTCCCTCTAAAGTCCTAAACTTGAATTTTTCCATGGTGATGTTTCCATGTAATAACGAATGTGTCCCTTCCCATGTCCATGCAAAAAATTATATGATCCATTCAACAACAATTTGCTCCCATTAAAAAAGAATTGTGTAAAGCTTAAATGCATGTAGAAATTGGAATGTTATATCAAGTATCAAAAACGTCCACAAATTTCAGTAAATCACACACAACCATCTTACAACTTCACAAGATTATAGAGTAAACAGTACCAAAATCAAAGATACGGATGATGCATATTATAACAAGTATTATTTTATACATCATGATTATATTAATTCACCAACTGCTTAGCCAAGAGTTTCCAGGAGCTTCAATTTGGGTGTACTCTCCCCACCCCCACCCTCCAAAAAACCCCAAATTTAAAATATGAAAAAATAAAGGGACAAAAAAAACAAAATTTTACCCGTGCAGTATAAGTAAAATTTCTATAACAGATATGGTTAAAGAAAAGAAGTTGAGCACCAACTTACTTGAGAAAGTCTAAATGGGCAAAACTTAGGCTTTCCCTTACGACCATATTTTAATAATTGAGCACCCTTCTTCAAAGCAATTAGTGCCTGCAAAATGTAAAAAAACTCAATTACAAACAAAGGCATGGGGTTTGACACACATCAGACTTTTGAAAAATGATTCTTATAGTTACGGATTAATCACTCACACCTTTCCAAAGAAGATAAAATATGTCTCACTTACATACATTTGCGTCTAAGAAACACATGCATGTCTGAAAAGACTAGGAATCCACGTCTCAAGCACGTNGAAAAATGATTCTTATAGTTACGGATTAATCACTCACACCTTTCCAAAGAAGATAAACTATGTCTCACTTACATACATTTGCGTCTAAGAAACACATGCATGTCTGAAAAGACTAGGAATCCAGGTCTCAAGCACGAGCCTGGTCCATTTTAAGAGCGAAAAACTATAATATCTGAGACGTGGTCACTTAAAATATCACTTGTAGCAAAGATGGCATCAGAGTATATTGTCCAATTACTGGGAGACATCTTTGCATAATAATTAATCATGAGACACGGCCACACTCCGATGTGCTACTCTTATTTTCTCGTTTCTTTCCAATAGTGTTCCTCTTATTTTCTCAGATCAACTAGAGGGTAAAGACAACGCTACAAATGGTTGACCAAATGGACATTTCTTTTCCGACCAATAGAACTGATTGTTGTACCAATCAGTTAAATCGTGAACACTCATAAGCTTCCCTACAGCCGACCAGCATTTTCTTCTCGTCGATTGTGTACTTAGTAAATTTTTGCACAGTCATGAAATGGATGAATTTATCCAATTGCCATGAGTTCATTGTAACCAATTAGAAGAAAACCCAAAAAATTAAACCCTCAAAAAAGTTCTCTCTTTTTTAACACTTGAGTATCAATGTAGTTTACTACACACTAATCCTATCAAATCTTTTAATACTAAAATAAAAAATCAAGGTAAAAAGGTGAGAGTTACCACAAGTTTAAATTAAATGATCAACGTCTGGACCAAAATTAAACAAAATTAAAAATTTCCACATAAACATCTAATTGCATTTCTACAAACATATTTCTATACCTGCTCGATGTCACGGTGGGCATTTCCGTAGCTAACAAGATCTGCCATTCCATGTGAGAGTTTCACTGGCACACCAACACCACCTCCTCCCCTTCCGATCTCTCTCAAGAATTCCGGTCATCGCCGACCACAACGGCTCTTCCTTGTCCGTACACTACCATCAACAACCTTCACATTTGCCTCCACCCCCCAAACAAAAATAATAACAGAAAAAAAACAAACACGGTTCAACAACAAAAATACTCGCACAAAAAACCAACCGTATCGGACCCTAGAGAACTCACAATCCTCCTCTCAGATCTGCAAACACAAAACAAAACCGATCGAACCACAGACTCTTCACTTCCTCTGAGCCCCCAAAGTCAGCAAATGCTCGAGTCTTTCCTTTGACTAGGCTAAATAGTCGTCTTGAAGTTGGTAAAAAGTCTGTTTCAGGAAAAGAGGTGAAGGCGTAGTTCAGACTGTGGAGCTGTGGCTCCGGCGTCGGGGAACCAGAATTAGCCGCTAATACGGAGCAGAGACAGAGAGAAAAGCGGATTCAAGGTGTCTGGGTGGTAGCGTCCGCTTTAGAAATAACAGTCAAAGACGAGCAAAAAAGGCCCGAAATCGTCTGGGGAGAAGAACTCAGAAAAGTAATGAGAAGCCATTTCCGAAGCCTCCTTTTTCTTTTCTTTTTTTAACCCCCCAAAAACCATTGAATTAATTTAAGATGAATGACACTTCTACCCCCTAACAGATCATGGAAGATTAAAATCTCCATATTGTACTCTTAATTAAATAAAAAAAAGGTTTATTATGTGGTCCAAAATTAAATATTATTTATTTTGTCAGATAATAATTTGTTTTGTTGTTTTTTTTTTGTTTTTTGTATTTATATTTTACTGGTTGTTAAGTATTTTATAATAATTTATCACTTGATTAGATAAAAGAATATCAACCCAAAACAAAAATGACTATTAATGCTATAAGAGCACGCACGTCTTCATCCATAACAACAGGTTTTTTCGATCTTGTCTAGTTGGTTCAATTCTTCAATCAATACTTGCCAAAGAAAGAATATATATTTTTGTTGTATCAGTGATATTACCGATAAATGAAATGCTAGCTAGAGAGAGAGAGGGGTCTATTATGTATATTTTATCATGCTTTTAATATTATTTATTTATATATATAATTATTTATATGTTACTTAATTTTAATTATTAGCCAATAAATTTGTGCTCAATTTTATTTAAATAGGTTGTATTACTATCTTTTATTTGATTGAGAATATGATATGAATATCCTTATTTTTGGGGTCATAAATTAAAAACTTAAATATTTTGGGGGTATAAAGAATCATTTTACCCTTAATTTTAAAATAGGAAAAATATATTTGTAAGTATTAATATTTTCTGGAATATTTTCTATATACTCGCGCATGGACGGGACGAGTGTGTTTCGGTAATTTGTCATATTAATAATCCTAAATTCCGGAAATACCCTTTTGTTCTAGATTGACTCGTACTTGTCATTTATGTCGACGAGGAGGGGGTGAGGTCTGGTACTTCTCGGGAGACGAGGGACTAAAAAATTGAACGCCTAGCATGACGCCACGTGTGCTGAAGCACTACACATGTAGATCTTTCCTATGTAATTCCTCGGAAATCTCTTTGCCTCGTCTATGTAGATGGAAATGTCGAGGAATGTAGTTTATAGGAGAACCCCAACTTGGATGCCTTTTGGAATATCTGTTGATGAATCCTAAGGCAAGATTTTTTTATTTTTTCCTCCATTCATCTATTTTTTTAAAATAAAATTTCTAATATTTTTGACCGTGTTACACTTTTTTGAATTTCTCAAAAATTATACAAAAATTATTTTCATTTACACATCTCAACTAATCGTATCGAAGATCTCTAATGCAATACGTTCAACTATAAGCATTCACCGTGTTGAATTGTGATCAAGTCTGAATCTTTCCTAAAAAGAGTGACTTTATTGATATGTTGGCATGATATTTTCTTCTTNCTATAAGCATTCACCGTGTTGAATTGTGATCAAGTCTGAATCTTTCCTAAAAAGAGTGACTTTATTGATATGTTGGCATGATATTTTCTTCTTGAGAGTTTAACTAATACCCCACACGGAAACGAAATAACTCACTTCGCTTAGAAGAATGCACAATGGTCTACATTTTCCCTTTTTTTTTTTGAGCTTTTCCGCAGGAACTTAATACAGTAAATTTAATTTATTTAAATTAAATTAACTCAACTTAATTCCACAATATATATATACACATTGGATTCAATGGTTAAAGATGTCAGAATCAGCTTACGCACACCTCGATTAATTTCTTTCTCGGTCCAGTCAAAAATAGATCATTCACATCTAGACTATGATATTTGTGAGAGATAAATTCCTCATAGGTCTAACATTAAGAGGTTGTCAAAATTCAAATTTAGAACATCTTCAATCCTTAATCTTTTTAAACTTAAATTTAAATTTGGGTTTTATTCAAATTAAGAAAGACTCAAATTTATATCTAAATCTTTTATTATGAGATTTCACCCTATTTTAAAAATCCAATGTTTATATTTTACTCTCTTTTAAATTTGGATTTGNTTAAATTTAAATTTGGGTTTTATTCAAATTAAGAAAGACTCAAATTTATATCTAAATTTTTTATTATGAGATTTCACCCTATTTTAAAAATCCAATGTTTATATTTTACTCTCTTTTAAATTTGGATTTATTCTCATTTAAATTTAAGTTTTTGTTCTTTTAAATTTGAGTTTGTTTATTGGAAACGTATATATCAAATTAAGTTTTTTACCCCTTTTTTTAAACTCAAATTTGGGTAAAGGTTTTAAATTTACATTGTAGATGGTCTGAATTTACAGTTCGTCTCTGTTACTACTTGAACTACTCCTTGGTAGGGGGTGTTAATCGAGTCAAACTTTACGAACTTAAGTCCGCCTAACAAACTTATTTTTTTATATAAATCTAAAAAATTGTTCAAGCTCGATTAGTTTAAAGNGGTAGGGGGTGTTAATCGAGTCAAACTTTACGAACTTAAGTCCGCCTAACAAACTTACTTTTTTAAATAAATCTAAAAAATTGTTCAAGCTCGATTCGTTTAAAANAAATTGTTCAAGCTCGATTAGTTTAAAGCTCGAGTCAAGCCAAGTCATAGCTAAATCCAAACCGAGCACGAGTAATTCAATTATTTTATATATAAACAAGTCGAGTTTTGCGAATTTAATCTAAATCTTTTAGGCTTGTTTTTCTAAATAAGCCTAAAAAATTCTTCAAACTTAACTCGTTTAAAGCACGAACTAAACTCGAGCCGAGTTTTATTTGAACTAAACTCGAATAACTTATTTTGATTAACACCCTACGCCTTGATGTTAAAAAAAAAATAATAAATTCTAGGTTAAATGTTACTTGATGGATCTTGAGTAGACTAGTCAACTTGTCCAACCCATTTAAGTTGCACCACAAATGTTGGGATTAATATACCAACTCCACAGAAATTTAGGAAAAGGTTGTTAAGATCAGTGATTAATATAATTGAAGTAATATAAAAAATAAAGTGAATTATTACTGGGATCTTTCTTTGCTTTTGAGCAGCTTTATTGGAACTGAGAGACAAAAGTTACCTCTACGAATGGACAACTTTATTAAAGGACCGAGCCATTGGGAATTGGTGGGTGAGCAACCATGGTTTCTTGATGGTCATCCACCAGGACCCACCGTTTAATCAGTGGGAATCCGTTAAGGAGGTTGGACAGAGAAGTAGTAGTAGATGACCAAACTCCTTCGATGCCAAATTATCTAAAGTTAGACTTTTCTTCATTTTATTCAAATTCTAAGTTTGATTTTTTAAGCTGAATTTTGAGTTGAGAGTAGCAGTTAGCTTAATAGTCACCGTTACGCCTCTATTATTGGACTGTAAGGTCGTAGATTTAAATCTTCTTCTTTTCTTTAATAATAAGGTAAGATTATGAACCATTTTAGGAAATGAAATTTTGTTTTTCGGCTATATCGGGTCTTTTGCTATTGTTCAGCGCCGATTAAAAGTAGAGCAAAAATATATGACCATAACGCCTATATTTATTGGATTATAAGGTTGTAGATTTAAATCTTTTCCTTTTCTTTAATAATAAGGTATGATTATGAAGTATCATAGAGTATGAAATTCTATTTTTCACTTAAATCGGGTCTCTTGCTATTGTTCAGCGCCGATTACAAGTGGAGCAAAAAATATATGAGTTTTAGGCCACACATGTAAATAAGACCCAAAATTTGAGTGGTCAATTACAAACAATCACATTTGTTGAAAGACAAATAGAACTAATAAGAAAGTGCGATATCATCAATCTTTTTTTAATTTTCTCCTATCAAAATAATAATAGTAAGTATCAATCTCTCTGGCTTTCTCTCATACAAAAAAAATAAACCAATACATTTTATACTTTTCTCAAATTTGATTTTATTGTCATTTAAGCATAAAATATCAACCAAACTATTCATTCTCATAAAGGATCTAAAATACAAACTAATTTAATTTCAAAANTTAAGCATAAAATATCAACCAAACTATTCATTCTCATAAAGGATCTAAAATACAAACTAATTTAATTTCAAACAAACACTTTTAATAAAGTTATTGTCTGTAACAAATAAAATATTTAGTTGAAAGTTGCAAACATAAACAAATAAAAAATCCTAAAAATTAAAAGATAATGGAATAATTCAACAAAAATATAGCAATGAATATGTATTTATAATAACAGTCAATCATGTAACACCATAATTTCGGTGAAGAATATACAATACAAATAAGAAGAGCATGAATGAAGTAATAGATTGTAATCCTATAGAAATATTTATAATTAAAAGTCATACTATCAATTAAAAAAATATGTTAGCATAATTTGGATAAAAAAATTTTAATTATTAATTTTGAATCTCAAAAAAAATAATAATAAACTTTAAATTAAAATTTTAGAATATTATTAAAAAAATAAAAAACTTTAGTTACGTTTATTCCTTTAGGCCTCACATATACTTGAGTCGCCCCGATTCGAACCTTGTTGTCTCTCACACATGTAATAATGTGAGACCCCAAAAAAATCAAAATTTTGAGTTGAGTATTACTACAACATGAACTTAAAAATTGGACTTGATAATCACAACTACTGAATAAGCAGTGCATTCAATAAATGTTGGGATCTATAGTGAAATCAATGGTAATAATTATCAAGTCTACTTTTTATTTTTACGTTTTAAGTTCGTGTAGCATTGTTCCTTTGAGTTTGATTGCTACACTACATTTTTTATCACCCTATTCGACAACGTGACACGTGTTCTTGCACTAAACATTTTTTTCCTTTTTTTTCTCTACTTTTTTGGATCAAAAGGAAATATTTATTTCTTGCAAATTTTTTCTTAATTTTATACAAATCAGAAATTCTTAATCAAGGGTAAGACCAGCTATGGATTGAATTGGGCCGACTCCGATTGGATTAAATGTGTCATCAATTGTGCTGTTAACGTGTGATTGATGTTTAAGGCAATGAGTAATTATGGTAAAATTCAAATAATAATAATGACGAATTATAAATTTAAATATTTTGA